ACACATGGCGTCGCTGGGGCCGCCGTGGCGGCGCGCTGGGTAAGAAATCCCCGGCCCTGGCATGGGTAGCAGCAGAGAGTGGCAGCCGCTGGGGCCGAGCTTGGGCCATCTCGCTGTCACGGCTGGGGTAATGGCATTTTGGTTGCCACGTCATGGCCTGCTGAGTGTGGACGTTGCGCTGCTTCTATCGGTCTCTCTCGCTCGTTCTCTCATTTTTTTTTTTCTCTCTCTCTCTCTCTCCTCATTGTTCTCTCTTTGTATCTCTCTTCTTCTCTTTTTTTTTTTTTCTCTCTCTCTCTCTCTCTTTCTCTTTCTCTCTCATACAAGAAAGCGCCCCGCGAGGTTTTTAGGGATCTGCAGTGGGCCCCCTGGAGGCGCCTCCGGCGCTGCCCCGTTGGTGCGGCCCGCGCCAGAGGGGTGCCCACCGCCGAACAAGACAGAATCGCGCGGACTTCAGACACGTTGCATGAGTTCAGCTTGTTCTTCAGGAGGGGGGAAAAACACAGACACAATTAATCGTCGATCCCCAGGAAAATATTGGAAAATACGGGAAGCGGGGGGGAAGACGAACACCCAGAAAAAATGAGACAAATATGAGGGATCCTGGGATTTGTGTGTATTTATTTGTGTGTCCCTGGGCCTATTCATCGTTATTTCTCTTCTCTCTCCATCCCTCTCCCATGTGCTCTGGATGAGGGCCCCCGGAAGATTGTCTCTGCCGTACGGGGCGGGGCGGATGCGGGCTCCACCTCCCGCGCCGCCTGGTCCATCTTCAGGCTGGGCGACCCCACTCTTGTTCATCATCGCCGCGGGGCCTCTAGGTGCGCTCTTCTGCGCGGTAAGGCTTCGGCTTGCGCGCGGGCAGCCCTCCTGTGTGGCCCCCGCCGGCCTCAACAGGCCGCCAGAGGAACCCCAGCCGGCCTCAACAGGCCCCTCGGGTAGTCCGGGACGGCCCCGCGCCCCGGTTTCAGCCTCGGCGCTCCGCGCCGCAGGGGCCGGGGCGTGGACGACCGCCGGGGGCACCTCCGGGGGGCGCGGGGAGGCCCGCGGGGGGCGCCCTTTGGGAGGCCCGCGGGGGGCGCCCGAGCGCCGCCCGAGGCCTCGCCGGGCAGGGCGGCGCCGCCCGACGGCTCCGCACCGCGGGCGACGAGCAGGCCCGGCTCGGCCCTGCCCCCGCCGAGCGCGGGCGCGGCCCGCGCGCGGGGCGGCCGCCGTGTGTGGCCGCGCGGCGTCGCGGCCGAGGGCCCGGCGGGCGCGCGTGGCCGCGGGCACGGGGGTCTTCTCCACGTGCCCACGGGTCCCGTGCCCACGGGTCGGCGGCGAGGGAGGGGGGGGATGAGTGAGGAGGGGCGGGCCCTCTCTCAGAAGTCTCTCGGACGTCCCCCCAGCCTTCGGGGGAGTTTCCTGGGCCTTCCCGGAAGGCAAGAGACGCTTCTCGGAAGGCGCGAGGGCTTCTGAGGAGTCCCGCCGCCTTCTGAGAAGGCCTTCTCCTTCTCATTTCCCCCCCTCGCCCGCCGCCTACAGAGGCTCCCGCAAGGGTCGGGGCTTAAGAGACGGGGGTCAGTGCAAACGGGGGTCAGCCAGGGCACCGGATGCTGCAGGATCCTGCGGAGACCCCCTATGGCTGACCCGGGTTAAGCGAGCCGCTCGTGGCCTCGAGGCGGCCGCGCAGATTGGCTGACCCGGGTTTGCGAAGGCCTGCATTGTGGTTTTTGTGTCCTGCATTGCAGTTGTTTGGTTTCCTGCTGACCCAGGTTTGGATTGACCCGGGTCAGAAGATCCCCGAAAGGGGAGAAGGCCCGCGGTCTGCCCGCGCGCGCGCGCTCGCCGAGCAAGGCTCGGGGTTCGGCACAGGCCCGTCGAGGGACATCAGCGTCACCCCAACGCGCTTGTAGTAGATGTGCGTCGCCCCCCTAGGGGCGCCGCGCGCACCGAGAAATCTTATAGCATATGCGTCGTGGCGGGCGCTTTCGCGCCACGCCGCTCGGGAAACGATGTGCTACAAGATTGGTCTACTATGTGTTCGGGCCGGACGCGCGCCTCCAAAGAGAACAGATAGCACCAGTACGTCCCTGTGCGTCCCAGTACAATCAAGACGATGAAAGAAGGAATGGTCGGGTCGGGAAGGAGGAGGAGGAGGCGGAGGAGGAGGCGGAGGAGGAGGCGGAGGAGGAGGAGGAGGAGGAGGAAGAGGAAGGAGGAGGAAGAGGAGGCGCTGTTCTCTGGGTCCTTCCATGGTTGCTCCTTTTGCGCTCCTCGTGCGCGTTTGGGCGCCCGTGGGCAACTTGATGGCTTCGCTCCGCAACGACAACCTGAAGAACAGTTACCAAGATCCGCAGAACGTTGCTGGAGGCCAGACGAGCTCCAAAGGGCACCAGGACACCTACGAGTAGGAATTGAGCAACGGTTACGTGCAGTCCCAGGAGCAGATGCCGTTCCAGGCGCAGGAACCACCAGCAAGGCTTCGCGAGCCTCCACCAGAGTTGCGCGAACAACGATTAGATCTTCGACGGCCACCACCCGAACTACTAGAGGCGCCTGCCGAGGACCACGCGCTGAGCTCCACGGGCAAGAAGCAGAACTTCGAGGGCCACCAGCTGAGCCACCGGGGCCACCAGCAGAACTACGGGGACCACCTGTTGCGCTTCGAACGCAACCGGACGAGATACGAGGGCCAGCAGCAGCGCCACGAAGGCCCCCAGCAGAGCTACCAAGGCCGCCAGAAGACCTTCGAGAGCCACCGGCTGAACTACGAGGGCCACCTGTCGAGCTACGAAGGCCACGAACTGAGCTACGGTCAACGGGCAGAGCTTCGAGGGCCACCTGGGACCACAAACTGACCGCGATAACCACAAGCTGGACCACCTGGGGCCACCAGCTGAGCAGCAACCAGGGCCACCAACAGCTGAGCTCCGAGCACCGCAGGCTGAGCTACGAGGGCCTCCAGCAGCGCCACGAGGGCCACCACCTGAACTGCAGGGGCCACGAGCAGATCTTCGAGAGCCACCACCGCAGCTACGAGGGCCACCTATTGAGCTGCCAGGGTAACAAGCTGATCTACATGGGCGCCACCACAGCTACCAGGGCCAATGGCTGCGCTACAAGGGTCACGAGCAGAGCTTCGAGAGCCACCAGGGCCGCCTGCTGTGCGATGGTGGCAGCGAGCTAAGCTCCGAGGGTCACCAGCCGAGCTAGGAGGGCCACGCTCGAACTACGAGGGTCACCAGCACAGCTTCGCGAGCCACCAGCTGAGATAGGAGGACCACAGGCCAGGCTATGAGGGCCGCAGGCAGAACTCGGGGAGCCACCAGCAGAGCTACCAGGGCCGCCAGTTGAGCTCGGAACGTGCCCAGGAACGTGCCAGTTTGCACTGCTGAGTGTATCGATCTTGATGTACCCTGCCGAGGGCTGTGCTGTGCTGCGCCGTGCTGAATTGCGATGTGCCATGCCGCGACTGTGCCTCTATAGCGTCGTGGATCGAGTCCTCCTTTTGCATCCGAGTCCTGACCGAACTGATCTGGATCTGAAGCTCGAGCTGCCTGAACACATAGTAGCTGCCCCAGACCTAATTGACAGGGGGACATGCCAGGTGGACGCGCCGCGGCACGTCCCAACGTGCCAGGCGACGTGCCAGGGGACGTGCCATGGTGACGCACCGCGGGACGTGCCAAGGGGACGCGCTACGGAACGTGCTAATGGATGTGCCACGGGATGTGCCACGGGATGTGCCAGGGGACGCGCCACGCGACGTGCCAGGGGGACTCGCCAAGGGACTCCCCACGGAAAGTGCCAAGGAACGTGCCAGGTTGCAGTGTTGAGTGTATCGATCTTGATGTACCGTGCCGAAGTCTGTGCTGTGCTGCGCCGTGCTGAATTGTGATGTGCCATGCCGCGATTGTGCTCTATAGCGTTGTGGACCGAATCCTCCTTTGCATCCGAGTCCTGACCGAACTGATCTGGATCTTAAGCTCGAGCTGCCTGAGCGACCTGGACACGTGAAAACAAGCGTTTCGCTAGACATCCGCCTGGGCGACCTGTACACGTGAAAGCAAACGTCTCGTTCGAGACATCCTCAACACATCTTCATGTCAGACATCCGCCTGGGCGACCTGGACACGTGAAAACAAGCGTATTTCTCGAAACATTCTCAAGACATCCTCATGCTAGGCATCCGCCTGGGCAACCTGGACACGTGCAAACAATCAAGACTTCGTCAACACATCCTCATGCTAGACATCCGCTTGGGCGGCGAGGACGCGTGAAACCAAGCGTCTCGCTCGAGACATCTTCAACAAATCCTGGTGCTAGACCTCTGCCTGGGCAACCTGGAGGCGTGAAACCAAGCGTCTCGCTCGAGACATCCTCAAGACCTGGGCACGTGAAAACAAGAATTTCACTTCAGAGATCCTCTGGATTGAGGTCCCCAGGAGATCACAATCTATAAGACAAAACAAGCGTTTCGCTCGAGACATCCTCAACACATTCAGAAACACAAGCGTTTCGCTCGAGACATCCTCAAAAATAATTCCGCCGGCCTCCTTCAAACTCTTCACTTATCGCAAAATAATTCCGCCGGCCTCCTTCGAGTCGTTTTCGGGGATAAACCTCTAAAAACGAACCCTGGGTCCCCCCTCGCCCTTTCTGGGAAAAAGCGCTTTCACACTGGGTGCGTAACGTGCATCGACGCATTCGGGGCGCATGCGTCTGTAGAAAGCGCGGCAGTTGCGTCCGGCGCAGTACATGGTGGGAGACACGTTGATGCAGCTCTGTCCTCTGGTACTCCCATCGTTCTTGCAACGGCCACTCCGGAAGTTGGCTGCCGGCCTCGACCCTCGATCCTCGAGCTGACCCTCGTCCCTCGATCCTCGACCCGATCCTCGATGCGCGATCCTCGACCCTCGACCCTCGATCCTTGCGCCTCGGTGCCGGCGGCCGCACAAGAGGCGCGAGGCTCCGGGCGGCGGGCGCGCCTCGGGCGCGCGCCGCCCGGCGAAGCCCAGGCCCGCCAGGCCCCGCGGGCGCACCGCACGTCGGCGTCGGCAGCGCCGTAGGCGTCGGCGTCGTCGTCGGCGTCGCCGGCCGTGTCGGCGTCGTCGTCTCGGCGCCCCACAAGTCGTCGTCGGGGTCGTCGTCGTCGTCGTCGTCGTCGTCGTCGTCGTCGTCGTCGTCGTCGTCGTCGTCGTCGTCGTCGTCGTCGTCGTCGTCGTCGTCGGCGTCGGCGTCGGCGTCGGCGTCGGCGTCGGCGTCGGCGTCGGCGTCGGCGTCGGCGTCGGCGTCGTCGCCACGCAGATTTCTTGGATCGGTGCTGGGCCCTCCCTGGCGCTCTCCGGGGAGGGGGGTCAAGCGCCGATCCAAGAAATCCGCGAAGGTGTACGTGTTTGCCAGGTTTTGTTTCTGTAGAAAAGGCGCCGATACCGATCGTCGTCGTCGTGGTCGTGGTTGTTGATATCACCGCCGTCGTCGTTGTAGCGCTCGCTCGTGGTCATTATTGTGGTGGCCGTCGTCGTCGTCGTCGTCGTCGTCGTCGTCGTCGTCGATCGACGCCGCCAGTTCTCAGGCTGTTGGGTGTTCGGGGAGATCTCGTTGGCACCACTGGCTACAGAGAAATCCATGTGGGCGGGGAGAAGAAATAGAGGGGGGAAAGGGGGGGGGGCACCTTTATTATCGCCCGCACTCGGTTAGCTGTCCCAAAGCTAATTCACAGGGGGGCATGCCACGAGGACGCGCCGCGGCACGTCCCAAGGGACGCGCAAAGCCGTGCCAGGGGACGTGCCATGGGGACGCACCGCGGGACGTGCCAAGGGAACGCGCTACGGAACGTGCCAATGGACGTGCCACGGGACGTGCCAGGGGACGCGCCGCGTGACGTGCCAGGGGGACTCGCCACGGGACGCGCCACGGAACGTGCCAGGGAAGGTGCCAGGTTGCAATGCTGAGTTTATCGATGTACCGTGCCGAGGGCTGTGCTGTGCTGCGCCGTGCTGAATTGCGATGCGCCATGCCGCATTGTGCCTCTATAGCGGTGTGGATCGAGTCCCCCTTTGCATCCGAGGTTTGACTGAACTAAACTGGATCTTCAGCTCGAGCTGCTTAAGTACAGAGTGGCTGCCCCAGAGCTATTTCACAGGGGGACATGCCAGGAGGACGCGCCGCGGCACGTCCCAAGGGACGTGCCAGGCGACGTGCCAGGGGACGTGCCATGGGGACGCACCGCGGGACGTGCCAAGGGGACGCGCTACGGAACGTGCTGGGGATAAGCGTTTCGCTCGAGACATCATGCCCGAATCTTCATGCTAGACATCCGCCTGGGCGACCTGGACACGTGAAACCAAGCTTTTCGCTCAACACATCCTCAACACATCCTCATGCTAGACATCCGCCTGGGCGAACCTGCAAACGTGAAAACAAGTGATTCGCTCGAGACGTTCTCAACACATCTTCATGTTAGACGTCCGCCTGGGCGACCTGGACATGTGAAACCAAGCGTTTTGTTCGAGACGTTCTCAACACCTCCTCATGCTAGACATCCGCCTGGGCGACCTGGACGCGTGAAAGCAAACGTCTCGCTCGAGACATCCTCAACACATCTTCATGTTAGACATCCGCCTGGGCGACCTGGACATGTGAAAACAAGCGTTTCGCTGAAGAAATTCTCAACACATCCTCATGCTAGACATCCGCCCAAGGACGCACCTCATGCTAGACATCCGCCTGGCCGACCTGGACACGTGAAACCAAGCTTTTCGCTCTACACATCCTCAACAAATCCTTACGCTAGACATCCGCCCGGGCAACCTGGACACGTGCAAACAAGCGTCTCGCCCGAGACTTCCTCAACGTATCCTCATGCTAGACATCCACGTGGGCGACCTGGACGCGTGAAAGCAAGCGTCTCGCTCGAGACATCCTCAACACATCTTCATGCTAAACATCTGCCTGGGCAAATTGAACGCGTGAAACAGGCGTCTCGCTTTAGACATCCTCAAGATCTGGGCACGTGAAAACAAGCATTTCACCTGAGACATTTTCTGAAGTCTGGTCCCAGGAGAAGGACAATATATAACACAAAACAAGCGTTTCGCTCGAGACATCCTCAACACATTCTGAACAACAAGCATGTCGCTCGGGACATCCTCAAACATATTTCCGCCGACCATCTTTCGATTTCGTGGTTTACCGCAAATGATTGCGCCGGCCCTCTTCCCGTCGATTCCGGAGGTAAACAATTAGAAGAGAACCCTGGGCAGGAGCCCTCTCCCGGAACAAGTACACAGACAATGTGGAAACATATGGGAAACAACTAGGAAATTTATGGGGGATTCATCGATGGAAAAATATGAGAATGCATGGGACCATGTCGGGGGAAAATATATGGGATCATGACGGGAAGATGCGGGGAACTGAGCCGTCGATTCTGCAGGACACATGGGAACATGTGGGAAGCGCTCGAACGTCCAGAAGAGATGGGAAACCATGTGGGATCCTGGGATTTGCGTCTGTTTACTCTCGGGTCGGGCGAAAGGGGGGGATTGGGAAAGGGGGGGCTACGAAATTTGCTGCATGCAGCTGGTTTCGGCCTCACCGAGGGGCCCATTCCTCGATACATGGGCGCCTCCCGGCGCCAGGAGGCGCCGGGAACATCAGCGACGTGAGCTGATTCTCAGACCCCCCCTTTGCTATCCTCGGGCGAAGAGAACTATGCACATGCACCGATCCTGGCAGGGCCCATCCTTGACCCAGGATCGGTGCATATGCCTTCCTGGCCAAGGCAGGAGGGCGTATGCACCGATCCTGGGCTCAGGATGGGCCTGGCCAGAATCGGTGTATGTGCATAGTTCTTTTTCCTCTATATCCCCCTCCTCCTGCTCCGCTCTCCTCCTCCTCCTCCTCCTCCTCCTCCTCCTCTTTCTCCTCCTCCTCCTCCTCCCCCTTTCGCCCGACCCGATACTCGGGCGTCTCTGGGCCCCCTCGAGGAGCACCCGAGGCGCGCGCCTCTCCGGGCGGCAGCGCGCGGGCGGGGCCGGCCGTGGCTCGATTCGGCGGCGGGGGGCCCGGCCCTCCGGGAGGCCCCTCCTCCGGCCACGGCGCCGGCGCAGAGGCCGCTGCTGTTCAGAGTCCTCCTCCTCCTCCTCCTCCTCCTCCTCCTCCTCCTCCTCCTCCTCCTCCTCCTCCTCCTCCTCCTCCTCCTCCCCCTCTGCGTCGGCGCCTCCGGCGCCGACGCAGAGGGGAAAGGACACACAGACACAATGAATCGTCGGCTCCCAGGAAAGTAGGGGAGAATATGGGAATTGAGGGGGGAAGACAAAGGCCCAGAAAGTATGGGAGAATATATGGGGAATGTTTTTGTTTGTGTGTTTTTCTTTTGTGTGTCCTGGGGCCCCTTTCAACCGTGTTCCTCGCTGCGGTGGTCCTAGGTCGTCACTGTATCCCTTAGGTCATTCCGCGGTTGTTCTCTAGCCCTGCTCGTGCACCCAGGCTCTCCTGGTGCCATCGAGGGACTTCAGTTCCTTCTGGAGCGTTCCTTCTTGCAATGGCTCGACTGTAGAAAGATGGGACACGTCAGGATCCTTCATCTCCACCGTCCTCGTCCTCGTCGTGGTCGCTGCCCAGAGGGCGGCGGTCGTCTCCGTCGTCGCCGGGGAGGCCCCCAAAACAAGCCGAGAGGAGGAGGGGAGGAGGGGGGAGGAGGAGGAAGACGGATGAGGCAGGAGGAGAGAGGAGGAGGAGGAGGATGAGGAGGAGGATGAGGAGGAGGAGGAGGAGGAGGAGGAGGAGGAGGAGGAAGAGGAGGATAGGGGGGGGGAGGGTGAGAAGGAAGGAGAAGGAGGACGACGACCCTGACCATTTTGACGACTTCCTCGACGAAGAATTCGGCGTCCTGAGGCTGGCGACGCCGGCGACGCCGGCGGCGGAGGCCTACGACGCTGACGCCCACGGCGACGATGACGACCGACCAGTTGGATGTCGACGGACACGACGGCGTACAGTCGGGACACCAAATACGGTGAGAACATTGGATAAGGAACCGCTGGATAAGGAGTCCAGGGTCTTGAAGCCGGTGAAACTCCAATCGTGGATTGGCCATGGATATCACCGCCGCCCTCATCAGATAAGGAATCCTCGAAGGTCTGAAGACATGGGCACGCTCCTTGCCGAACGCCCCTGGAATCGGCCTACGAGCAGGACACCCGTGGAAGTTTCGGGTACCCCGATGGCCCTGGGGACCCATTGGAGCCCTGGGACACCTCAGGGCCCCGCAAGACCGACGAAGAACGTGCCCCAAGATGTCTTACCGCAAGCTGTCTCATGCAGCTGCGCTGCCGCGGGAATCCGCCGCCGAGCTCGGGCGGGCGCCAGGCGGGCGCCTGGGGGTCCGGAGGCGGGAGGGAAGGAGGGGGGGACAGGCCACGGGACCCGGCCACCCGGATTTCTGAGTTTCGAGGTCATTTCTTGGTCGGACCACGGACATCCCAGGGACCCGCGGGACAGAAACGCGAGAGCGTCGGCGCAAGAAGTGGAGGCAGCGCTGGGGGCAAGAAGGACAGGATGTCGGCGCAGGGAGCGGAAGCAGCGCAAGACAGGGGCGCGAGGCAGACCAGCCGCTGCAGGCGCGGTGGCAGACTGTCGGTGCCTGCTGTGCCCGACGGCGGCGGCGACGCCGCCGCCCGCGAGGCGGAGTCGCCCGCGAGGCCGCCGAGGCGCGGCCCCCGCAGAGCCGCGGCCCCCGAGGCCCCAGAGGTCCCGGCCCCTTCCTCGGGGTAAAAACACACAACACACACACACACACACACACACACACACACACACACACACACACACACACACACACACACACACACACACACACACACACACACACACACGCTGTGGGAAACAAACACAAAGACACAAACTATTTTGCGTGTTAGAGTGAAAGCACACACACACTGTGTGTGTTTTTTACCCCACACGCTGTGTTTTTTTCCCACACGCTGTTTTGTGTGTTTGTTTGTTTCCGCCCAGCTTGGCATCGCTCGGACGTGTGAATTTTCTGTTCGGCGGGGGCCGTCGAGGAGCACCTATGGGCCCTCCTGCGAAGCGCGTGCGCGCGCGAGGCCGACACACGCGCACGGGGCGTGTGGGCGCCCGAGCGGCGGCGGGCCAGGGCCCGTGTCCGATGGCCCTGGGGCCCGATGTGGCGAGCCCAGGAGGCCGCGACCTCGCCGCCGACGAGACAGCGACGACGCCGACGCATGGGACGTCGCCGGAGGCGACGGCGTGGCCAGGCCTCCGAGGATCTGCTCTGTGCACTGCGCGGCCCCAGAGACCCCTTCCCTGGGATCGGATTGTCCCGGAGATTGATCGACCTCCTACCCTGACACGTCGTTTAGTGAATTGGCCGTTTCTGGTTCGCGAGAGGGCGTCGCGGCCGTCACTCTTGCGGGTCCAGGCCCGTCGGTTTCGGTCCCAGGCCGTTTTCACCCAGGGGAGGTTTACTAAAGGGAGGTTTGTCCACCGCCGAGTTTATAGAACGGGAGCTGTAGAGGTTCCGACCCACTCCCAAGGACCGGGCTTCTCGTCCATGGGTCGTTTTCATTGGGACCGGCAAAGAGGGGGGTGATGACTAGGGGGAGTTGGATATCGTGGCGTGGGCCATGATATCTCCTCAGATTTCATGGCGCCTCTTCTTATTTCATTACGTCCCTAGCACCCCCCTGGCCGCGCACATGCCGCCGGCCATGATTTGCACCCCCCCCTCTTGGACGCCCCCCTCTTGGCCGCTCCCGATTCCACTGCCCCAGGGCATCGCGAGGGCCCCCGGAGGTCGAAAAGGGCAAAGAATTTTCTGTCGTGATTTTTTTTGCAACGCCAGGGTGTCTGGGGACGACGTTCTCGACGACGCCTGCGCCCACGAAGCGGAGCCGCGGCCAAAGCCCCGGGAAGCATAGTTGAGCGCAAAGACTAGCCAACACTGATTTTAGTCATGGGAGATGTTTGGAAATGTTGAAAGTGGAGGGGAACATACAAATCAATGAGATACGAAGAAATCGTGGACATCCATTATCGCGCGTCGATTCGCGAAGGGTAACGAACTTTTGCTTGGGGTGTCGCCGCGGCGGCCCCAGCGACACGCTGTGCTGTGCGAGCGGTCAGCGTGCTGCTCCACTTCGAGGGGCGGGAGCCTGAGAAAAGATCGGGACGCTGACGATCGGTGAGCGCGATGTGGTTAGCGTGTTGCGCCGAAGAGCGTGGTGGGCCAGAACTGGCGGAACGACACCAGGAGGAGAAGGAGGAGCAGGAGGAGGAGGAGGAAGAGCAGGAGGAGGAGCAGCAGGAGGAGGAGGAGGAGAAACAGGAGGAGGAGAGAGGAGGAGAGAGAGGAGGAGGAAGGAGGGAGGAGGAGGAGGAGGAGAAGGAGGAGCAGGAGGAGCAGGAGTAGCAGGAGGAGGAGAAGGAGGGGGAGGAGGAAGCCAACCTTCCTGATCGCATCCCTCTCCTTGAGGTCGGCAAGCCCACGGCGCTGCCAATATTAGGGGTGTGCCATGAGGAACCGAGGGAGACCACGAGAGGTCGGCATGTGAAGACGAGGCGGCGCCAACCGTAGGGATATTGAGTTAGGGACGTGCTTCAGGCTGGCACCACGCAGCCCCGATCCTCGAACCTCGAGCCCTGGCTGAGCGACACGCTACACCAAAGTTCCTGGCTGTATTTTGGCGGCGCGCAGAGGGGGGCAGGGGGAGGGGGGAAGGCTTCTTCGAAGGAGGCCGCTTCTCAGTCGCCGCGGGCCTTGCATTTGCAGACCAGGCCCGCGCCTTCTACGAAGCAGGGGTGCTTCGCAGAAGCCTTCCTCGCTCCCCCTCCCCCCCCTCTGCGAGCCCCATAGCCCCATAGCCCTATAGTCCTACAGCCCTATATACTTATAGGAGGAGGGAGGGAGGAGGAGGGAGGAGGAGGAGAGGAGGAGGAGAGGAGAGCAGGGAGGAGGAGGAGGGAGGAGGAGGAGGGTGGAGGAGGAGGAGGAGAGAGGGGAGGAGGAGGAGGACGAGGAGGACGAGGAGGAGGCGGAGGAGGTGGAGGAGGAGGAGGAGGTGGAGGAGGAGGACCGCCAAGTATTTGCTTCCCCTGGGCGACCCCGCAGGCCGGCTGCGCCAGCAGGGCGCCCGGCCGCGGATGGCGCCGGGGCCGCTGCGGCGCTGGGCGGAGGCGCGCCGCGCGGCGAGGCAGCTGGCGCGGCGCGGCGGCGCCGCCGCCGCCGCCGCCGTCTCGAGGAGCCCCAGACCTCGTTCAAACGACGCGAAGATTGGGACAAAATCGGATCGGGATAACTCGAAATCTCTGAGAATCGGCGGGTTTGGAGGATGTATTGGGCGCCGCGGCCGCTCCACAGCGTTCCGGAACGCTCTGAGAGCGCTCCGGAACGCTCTGGAGCGATTCATCCCGATCCTAGCCCTGTTTTACTCGTCGGGTGCCCAGCGGCTCCTCCTCGAGCGCCTCGCCGAGGAGCCCCAGACCTCGCCGAGCGCCCCGGGGCGCGCTGTCGTCGCTCTCGCGGCCTCCCAGAGGCGTGTCGGCCGCCTCGGGAGGCTCATGCAGCGGCCTCGCCTCGCCGCGAGCGTTCCGGGGCTGCCCGGATCGTGCCAAACGGGCGTCGGAGGCCCAAGCCATGGCCCGGGAGCCGAAGGAAGCCCAGATCCCTCGGGCCCCGGGCGTCGTGGCAGAGTGCACGGCGGAGGGTTTGCGCACGTGCTCGGCCCCCGTGGGCCCTCGCTGGGCCCCGGGAGCGTCGGCAGCGACTCGCAGGAGAAAGAGCCCCTGTGGACAGCGTCGGGGACTTCTGGGGGCCCCGTCTTTCGCAGAACAGGGCGTTGCATGTTCGGGGCAGGCGGCGGTCCAGAACAAAGAGTTCGCGAAGACGTGCAGCAGCTCGTGCCCATTTTGAACAGGATTCGCTGTCGGCGTCGCCGCGGACGTTGTCCGTTAGAAACAATAGGCCACCCTCCCGACAGCGGCCGCTGTCGGGCTGTTGGGCATCATGTCCAATTCCTGTCGAAGAAGAATGTTAGCCAGCGTGGGCATCAACATGATGGACCCACGAACCCGGAAAGGGATATAGACATGTGGAGCATGGACACGTTTTCATGATACCCAACTGGGCAACACCTCACGAAACATCCCACGAGACACCTCACGAAACAGCCCACGAGACACCTCACGAAACATTCCACGAGACACCTCACGAAACATTTCACGAGACACCCCGCGAAACATTCCACGAGACACCCCACGAAACATTCCACGACGACAGGCAACCACTCAACCAAGGCGGTGTGGTCGTGCTGGGGAGTGGTCGTGCTGGGGTGTCGTGCTGGGGGTGGTCGTGCTGGGGGGTGGTCGTGCTGGGGGGGTGGTCGTGCTGGGGGGTGGTCGTGCTGGGGCGTGGTCGTGCTGGGGGTCGTGCTGGGGCGTGGTCGTGCTGGGGCGTGGTCGTGCTGGGGCGTGGTCGTGCTGGGGTGTGGTCGTGCTGTGGTAAGGTCGTGCTGGGGTGCGGTCGTGCTGGGGTGTGGTCTTGCTGGGGTGGGGTCGTGCTGGGGTGTGATCGTGCTGGGGTGGGGTCGTGCTGGGGTGTGGTCGTGCTGGGGTGTGGTCGTGCTGGGGTGTGGTCGTGCTGGGGTGTGGTCGTGCTGGGGTGTGGTCGTGCGTGCTGGGGTGTCGTGCTGGGGTGGGGTCGTGCTGGGGTGGGGTCGTGCTGGGGTGCGTGCCGCACCCTGTGATTTATCGATCGGGTCGTGGGTGTGGTCGTGCTGGGTGTGGTCGTGCTGGGGTGTGGTCGTGCTGGGGTGTGGTCGTGCTGGGGAGTGGTCGTGCTGGGGTGTGGTCGTGCTGGGGGGTGGTCGTGCTGGGGGGTGGTCGTGCTGGGGGGGTGGTCGTGCTGGGGGGTGGTCGTGCTGGGGCGTGGTCGTGCTGGGGCGTGGTCGTGCTGGGGCGTGGTCGTGCTGGGGTGTGGTCGTGCTGTGGTGAGGTCGTGCTGGGGTGTGGTCGTGCTGGGGTGTGGTCTTGCTGGGGTAGGGTCGTGCTGGGGTCGGGTCGTGCTGGGGTGTGGTCGTGCTGGGGTATGGTCGTGCTGGGGTGGGGTCGTGCTGGGGTGGGGTCGTGCTGGGGTCTGGTCGTGCTGGGGTGTGGTCGTGCTGGGGTATGGTCGTGCTAGGGTGGGGTCGTGCATTTCGCTCGAGACATCCTGCCAAAATTCCAGGAAATCGTACAAAAACAAAGGAATTAGTCGAGACATCATCGAAATTCCTTCGCGCGGGGCGCTTTTCCGCGTCGCGGTCGGCTCTGCAAAACAAGCGTTTCGCTCGAGACATCCTCGGCAAACTCTGCGGAGCAAGCGTTTCGCTCGAGACATCCTCAACACACGAAAAAGTGGCCCGCACCCTGTGATTTATCGATCGGGATTTCAAAAACAAGCGTTTCGCTCGAGACATCCTCAAATTTTAATTCGCCGGCCTCCTTCGACCTCGTTATTTATCAGGGAAAAAATTCGCCGGCCTCCTTCAAGTTGGCACCGGGGGATTAGGTTTACCAACTAAAAGAGAACCCTGGGCCGGCGCCCTTTCCGGGAAAAAGTGTGTTTCTAGAAACGTATGTGGTGCAGACTATGTATGTTGTGCAACCTATGTGGAGCCGTCCATGTGGTGCAATCTACGTGGTGCAATATATGAATAGGGATGGACATGTTACGATCTATGTTGCGCAATGTACGCGGTGCATTCTACAATGCACAATATCTGATGTGTAACCGATGTGGTGGCTTATGTGTGGTGCAGTCTATGTGCCGCAATAATTTCTGTTCGCAGTGAATTGTCCACTCCACTGCTCGCGCAATCATCCCACCCACCCACCCGCACTTTGATTTACAAAACCCATGTGGCGGCGATTGCGATGAGTGCTTGGAGTTGGCTGGTGCATCTCTGCGGCCGCGCATGCTTGCGCGCGCAGTGGCCGAATAGTTTGGCGCTACCGACGCGGCCGCCTCGGCGCTTACCGCTGGGCAATTCCCAGCTGCCTATGTGCTGCAAGCTACGCGGTGCAATCCATGTTGCGCAATCGATGTGGTGCAGTATATGTGGTGCAGTCTATGTGGTGCAAGATGTGCGGTGCAAGCTCTGTTTTGCAACCTTTGTGGCGCAATCCATGAACGCAACCTATGCGGCGCAATCAGTGTGGTGCAGTCGATGTTGTTCAGCGAATTTCAAACATCTTGGGGTTGTCCATTCCACTACTCGCGCAATCATGCCGCCCACCCACCCGCAAGTTGGTTTGCAAAAGCCATGTTGTGGCGCCTGCGATGATTGCTTGGTGTTGGTTGGTGCATCTCTGCGGCCGCGTTGGCCCGCGCATTCTCGTGCGCACAGCGGCTAGCGACCGACGCGGCCGCGGTGGCGCTGACCGCTGGGCAGTTCCCAGCGGCCACTTCAGTGCGAGTCCGTGATTTGGTCGGGCGCGGCATCATGGCGACGCCGACAATGGTATACACGGTGATGATCGTGGCGTTGAGGGTGACGATGCTGACGATTACAATGGCAAGGCCAATGACGGTGCCGATGTTTGTTACGCGGATGTCAATGACGATGTCTTCGCGTCGGCGATCAATTTCTTGGAAGGAGTTCGACATGCGCGTGCGGCCGACGCGCGCGAGTGGCCCGCATCGTATCATGTGACAGGGATCGCCCCCCCCCATCACGCGCGCAAGGGCGTTCGAATGATTTCGACATGCGGCGCGAGAGGCCCGTTTGGTCGAAATTGGCGAACGCGTTGACGAACCTATGGTTTTCTTACATATCCGCAAGAGCGCGCGCACATACCTGAAAGCTGATGTTGAAAACCTATAGGCTGTGCATGTTCTTTCTGAAACACCCGATATCGAAATCCATACGAAACTGAAGGTTTTGGACGGATTCTGGCGTGTACACTTCGCTTTTTCTTTGCATGGGAGTCTTGCGACAGCACGCGCGCAGAGGCGTTCGAACTATTTCGGTATGCGCTTGCGAAAGGCACGTTTGGTAGCCTATGATGAACTTGTTGCTGAACCTATGGTTGCCCGAAGATTTCGCAAGAGCGCGAATGCTTATGTTTTTGCACGTTAATGTTGCGAATCCATGGTTGTGTTATATTTTTTCGGGACGCTTTGTTTTGAAATCCTTACGCCACCCACTGTTGTTGTAGGATTTCGGCATGCGCGCATGACGACGCGCGCGTGTGCCTGTAGTTTTTGGTTCGCGCTGGATTCTTGAGAGCTAATGATTTGTCATGAACGAGTGCGCGCGTACATGATTTGTGCTGTTGAAGAGGGGGCGATAAGGGACTGCATGGGATAGTATGGATTCACAGTTCGGATGTTCGATGGGGTCAAATCACATGGACGTTGCACAACAAAAAGGCGTACCTTTGAATCCCCGGAAGGGGGGTAGATCCCAACTCAACTTTTTCTGCGAAAGAAGGATCAATTGTCGGCGGCGACGCGCCGATGCAATCTATACGGTGCAATCTATATTGAGGTAGGTACGCGGTGCAATCAGTTGGCGGCGACGAGACGGCCACGGGGCTGCGACGGTGAGCGCGGAACCGTCAAACCGCCAGCCCTGCCCAAACGATGGGCGACGACGAGGCGGTGATGGGGCGGCGACGGCGATTACATAGCCGCCAGGCCGACATGCCCAGACGCCGGGCGGCGACGAGGCAGCGACCAGCCCGCGACGGCGGCTACATGCTACATAGCCGCCGCGCCGACGTTCGCCGTACCCGTTGGCGTGGTCGTCGATGCCCTGGTCGTCGTCGTCGTGGTCGTCGTCGCCGTCGTCGTCGTCGCCGTCGTCGTCACCGTCGTCGTCATCGTCGTTGTCTTTGTTGTCGTCGCCTCGTCGTCGCCCACGCTGTCGTCGTGGTGGTCGTCATCGTCGTCGCTCTCGTGGATGTTCCGCTGGATGGATTGCAAAGTAGTTGAACATTTCGCCCGACCCGACGTACCCGCCCGACAAGGCCGACTCGCCCGACCCGCCAGCAGGGTTGGCTGGCCCGACTCGCCAGTCAGGGTCCGTCAGCCCGACACGCCAACTCGACCCGCCCACTCGCGTGTGCCCAATTCACTTGTTAGATCGGATTATTGTCGCGGTCGTCGCCGTCGTAGTGGTCGTCGTTGCCGTTCTGTCGTCGCCATCGTCGTCGGCTTTGTCGTCTTCGTCATCGTCCTCGTCGCAGTCCTCGCTGTTGTCGCCGTCGTCGTCGGCCTTGTCGTCGTCATGGCCTTCGTCGTCGTCCTCGTCGTCGTTGTCGTTGTCGTCGCCGTCGTCGTCGGCGCAGTCGTCGTCGTCGTCGTTGTCGGCGTCGTCGTCGTCGTCGTCGTCGTCGTCGTCGTCAGCTCGTCGTTGTCGTCGTCATCGTCGGCGTCGTCGTCGTCCTTGTCGTCGTCGTCGTCGTCGTCGTCCTCGGCGCCGTCGCCGTCGTCGTCGGCGTTGTCGTCGTCATCGCCCTCGTCGTTGTCCTCGGCGTCGTCGTCGCCGTCGTCGTCGGCGTCGTCGTCGTCGTCGTCGCCTCGTCGTCGTCGTCGTCGTCGTCGGCGCCGTCGTCGTCGTCGTCGTCCCTGATGTCGTCGTCGTCGTCGTCGTGCCGTCGCGGATGTCTTCCTGGATGGGTTGCATCCCATTGCAATGCCCCGCCCGACCGACAGGGTCCGCCCGCCCAATCGGCCTTGTCGGGCCCGACCCTGCCGACCAGCCAGGGTCGTCGTCGCCGTCGTCCTCGTCGCCCTCCTGGTCTGCTCCTGGTTGTCTTCTGATCCTTTGCCGGCGCTTTCCGCTGGCAGCGGTGTGCCGCGTTCTCTCGGCGAGGATGCGTGCCAGGGTGTCGTTGCTCACCCTCTCCTTTTCTCCCTTTGCCACCCCTCTCCTTCGTGCGGAATTTGGCCGCTACTTCTGCGCCCGGCGAGGGCACGGCGGCGGTGGCGGCCGCGACGGCGACGGCGACGACGGCGCGCTGTAGTGGCACAGATTTTGAATTATCTGCGTTGTTTTTTTCAAGAGGCTTACGTCATGTTGGCGACCCCCAGAAGAGGATCTGCGCGGCTTCCGATCTCGCGTGTGCACGTGTGCTGTTTGACGCGTGCTACCTGGCCGCGCCCACCTCCCTGTGGAGCGGACCGCCACCCCGGGCCTGGCACCTCCGGTCGCCTCGCTGGCCCTGGCGCTTCCAAACGGCCTCGGCTCGCCTCGAGCCGGCGCCTCCGCAGCACCCTCGCCTCGCCGCTGTCGCCGCAGCTGCGGGCCTTCCTCCTCCACCCACCAAACCACCCCGACCCAACCCGAAGCCCTCGATTTGTCTCCCACTTCCAGTGGGGGGGGGGTCGGGGGACGTTGAAAAAACACATGGGATCCGTACCCCCCCCCCCAACCCGAAATTCGGGTCAAATTCGGGTCTTCGGGTTGGGTTGGGGTGGTCTGGTAGGTAGTCAGCCCAGGGGCAGCGGCGGAGGGCCAGGGGTGGCCCCTCCGCGGGGGCGGGGGCGTGCCCCCGGGGGGGGGGGGGCACGAGCGACAACTGGGGGAGCTGAGGTCCTACCCCTCCTCCTCTCCTCCTCCTCCTCCTCCTCCTCCTCCTCTCCTCCTCTCTCCTCCTCCTCTCCTCCTCCCTCCCTCCCTCCTCCTCCTCCTCCTCCTCCTCCTCCTCCTCCTCCTCCTCCTCCTCCTCCTCCTCCTCCTCCTCCTCCTCCCTTTCTCCCCCTGCTGTCCCTCTGGCCGCCGCGGCGCCGCCGCCCCGCGGCTCCGGCTCGCCTGCCGCCGCGCCCCTGCCGCCCCACGGGGCGCCCGCACGCGCCGCCCGCCCGCACGCGCCGCCAGTGCGCACGGCAGCGCACATCTTCCAGGAGGGAACAAAAACACACAGACACCATGAATCGACGATCCCCAGGAAAAGATGGGAAGAGGGGGGGAAGACAGAACCCCAGAAAATGTGGGAAAATGTGGGGACTGGTCTTGCTTGTGTGTATTCATTTGTTCGTGTGTGTCCTGGGGCCCCTTCCATCTTGCTGCAGGACACACGAGAGCATTTTCCTCCGGGCAGCCCACAGGCGCTTGCGCTGTGCTCCCTTGCGCGGCGCTCTTCGCGCCTGCTGCCGCGGTCTGCCTGGCCGGCGTTCCGGCCCCTTCGGACGCCGTCCCCGCCGCCCGCGGGCCGCCCCGGCTGCTCTCATGGCGGACGTCTCCCGCCTCTGAGTGCTCGCCGCCTCGCCGCCGACGGGAAAAGTGTTGTTTCACGCTCTCTGTCGTGCTGCCTGCGCGTACAGTCGGGGCCCTGAAGAAGGAACCCTTTTCGTTGGGGAGGGGCTCCGCGTTCCTTAAGTGTTTCACAGCTTGCCTCAGGTTTTCCTGATGTTTTCGATGGGAGATCGAAGTTCAACTTATGGTAAAAAGGGGCCTCGTTCCTTATGTAGGGTTCCTTAGGTCAACGCCCCGACTGTTGTTCTTGCTGATTCGCCCCCCCCCCCCCCCCCCCCCCCCGCTTCCACCGTGGACTCCGACTACCACGGGAGCCGATGGCTGTGCATGCTGTGGCGGAGGCGCAGGGCGGCTACGACCTCGGCTCGCTCGCTGCCGTCTTCCCTGGCCTCTGCCCCTGGGGCGCCGACTTCCCCCCGGAGCCGCTCTCGGTGGACGTGCCCAGCTCCCCCGCTCAAGGTGGGCCCCAGGAGGAGGAGGAAGAGGAGGAGGAGGAGGAGGAGGAGGAGGAGGAGGAGGAGGAGGAGGAGGAGGAGGAGGAGGAGGCGGAGGAGAGGAGGTAGGGAGAGGAGGAGGAGGAGGCGGAGATGAGGAGGAGGAGGAGGAGAGGAGTGAAGGAAGAAGAAGCAGAGAAGAGGAAGAAGGAAGAGGAAGAAAAGAAGAAGAAGAGGAGAAGAAGAGGAAGAAGAAGAGGAAAAAAGAGGAAGAGAAGAGGAGAATCGAAATAAGAAGAATATTAATAAGAAGAATAAGAAGAATCATAGAATAAGAAATAATATAATAATAATAAGAAGAAGAAAAAGAATAAGGAGGGGAGGAGGAGGAGGAGGAGGAGGGGAGGAGGAGGAGGAGGAGGAGGAGCGGCGCCCGTGCCCGTCGCCGCCCCCTCCGACGTCGACCCGAGCACAGCGGCTCGACTGCGACGGCCTCGCCGCCGTCCTTCCGGGCCGTCCCCCCGGGGGTGCCCGTGCCCGCGCGCCGCCGCGCGAGGCGCAGAGCCGCCTCCTCCGCGCCGCAGGGGCGCCCGTCTGGCGTGGAGGGGTCCGCTCTTGGGGCGCTCGCTCCTCCTCCTCCTCCTCCTCCTCCTCCTCCTCCTCCTCCTCCTCCTCCTCCTCCCTCCTCTGCCTCCTTCCTCTCCTCCTCCTCCCCTCCTCCCCTCCTCCTCCTCCTCCTCTCCTCCTCCTCTCCTCCTCCTCCTCCTTCCTCTGGCCTCCTTCCTCCTCCTCATCCTCCTCCTCCTCCTCCTCCTCCTCCTCCCCTCCTCTCTCCTTTCCTCCTCCTCCTCCTCCTCCCTCCTCCTCGCTCCTCCTCCTCCCTCCTCGCTCCGCCTCTCATCCTTCCTCTTTCCTCCTTCTCCTTCTTCTCTTCCTCCTCCTCCTCTTCTCTTCCTCCTCCTCCTCCTCCTCCTCCTCCTCCTCCTCCTCCCCCTTCTCCTCATCCTCCTCTGCCTCCGTCTCCGTTGCGTCCGTGGTGTGTTTAGCTGAACGGTTGGCTTCTTGGCGGAGCCGGCGCGATTGTCCTTTCTCTCTTCTCATCCCTCTCTCCTCTCCTTCGTCCTCCACCCTCCCCCTCATGTCGCAGCTGGACTGTCGATCTGTTGTTCAGTCCACGGTTCATAGCATGAGTTTGCCTTTTGCGTGTCGGCGCGCGCGGCGTTCCCACTTTGCCGACCAACCTTCTGATTCGCGATGTGGTTGTGTCACCAGTGGTGCTTTTGCTCGGTATACAGTCTGCGAGGTCGGCAGGTTGTTCGGGTCTGCGCTGGACCCCCCTGGAGCGTTTTGCGCGCCGAGGGGGAGGAAGGGTCAGCGCCGACCGACGACATATCCACGCGGGGTGGTAGTGGTGGTCGTCATGGCCGTCTCCGTCGCCGCGGTCGTCGCCGTCGTTATGATCGTCGCACGCAGTCGCGGACGTCGTCCTCGTCGCCGTCGGCAAACGGCTTCGAGTGCTCTTGGGGTTCGAGGGTCGAAGCAGAGGGCGACATCGCCTTGTAGATCGACGGCGGCAAACCGCGACCAAGACGACGACCGCCACCACGACGACGGCCGGCCCTAACGACGACGCCGCCGCCGACGAAGACTGGGCGCGCGTGGAGGCCAGCGAAGCTGCTGGTGGCGGCCGCGCTGGTGGCGGGCGCGCTCGTTTACGGAGGACGAGTTTGGGGTCGGTCCCTCTTGTCGACGGCCAGCCCGGGGAGCTGTGAGCGGGGGCGGGCCTTCTCAGGAGGCTTGGAATTCCTGTGGCATACTGAACAATTTTTTGAGCCTTCCCCGAAGACGCGGAAAACGCTTCAGAAGGCCAGCGGGTTTCTGAGCAGTCACGCCGCCTTCTGAGAAGGCATTCTCCTTCTCACTTGCCCCCTCGCTCGCCGCCGACCTTGGCGGCGCGCACCATGACGCCACGGCGTCGCACGGTTTGGGAGGTCGTGCGGGCTCTCTGGAGACAGTCTTTCGGACGTTTTCGCTCGAGGTTTCCAGTGGTGTGCGTGGCCTGGGGCGGTTTCCGTCAGCTGCGCCTCGTCGAGGGCGTTCTGGGGCCGTCGCAGTCACCCCCGACGGCCGCCTGAGGCCCGGATGTGGGTCCGAGAGCGACTCAGCCCGTGCCCCGCCTATGATGTCCTCTCCGCAGCGCAGCCGCTACGCAGCACGTCGCACTGGATGCCTCACCCCTGGACCTCTGGACAGGACTCGTCACCAGTTTGAGACATGTGCTGGTCCCTAGGTTTGACATCACCTTACCTCGACACCGATCTTCAGGATTTTCCCTCGTTTCTGAGAGCCTGTCCCTGAGATTGTCATCGCTTTTGGCTTGCCCATCTCAGGGATAGGGATCACTTCGAGGCTGGTTAACTTGAGCATGGAGGATGGAGGCCCTGCTCCACGAGACGCAAGGCGAGGTGGGTCTCAGCTCCCCCCAGAGGGGGCTGGGATTCACGCGCGGACCCCACCTACACGCGCACCCCGTCCGCAACAGACAGCCTCCCTCATCCCCTCCTTGAGGTGCATCATTCCTGTTTTTCGTCGTTCCCTCGTTCTTCAGTTTCTCTCTTTTTACCCCTTGGGTTCTATTGCCCCTCCCACGGGCGCTCCGGTGGGAGTTTTTCAAAAGCCGCATCCGTCTTGGAGACACGGGTCCGCAGCTCGAGGCTCTAAGGGGGAGTCGGGGAGGACGAGGGGGAGAAGAAAGGAGGAGGAGGAGGAGGAGGAGAAGGAGGAGGAGGACGAGGAGCAGGAGGAGCAGGAGAAGGAGGAGGAGGAGGAGGAGCAGGAGGAGAAGGAGGAGGAGGAGGAGGAGGGCGAGGAGCAGGAGGAGAAGGAGAAGGAAGATCTCGACTGCCCACCCCCCGTTGGCAACGGGCAGGCTTCGGCACGAGCGGGCTCTGGCGCGGCTCCTCGGCCGCAGGCGGGGCGGCGCGCGCGCGCGCCCATGCTGCACCGTGTGCGTAGCCCTGGAGCGGGTTCCGCTCCTTGTCTTCCTCGCCCGCATTTTCTCCCCCTCCCCCTCCCTCCTCTTCCTCATCCCTCCTCCTCCTCCTCCATTCTCCTCCTCCTCCTCGTCCCTCCTCTCCTTCTCCTCCTCCTCCTCCTCCTCCTCCTCCTCCTCCTCCTCCTCCTACTCATTCTCCTCCTCCTCCTCCAGCTACTTCTCCACCGCCTCCTCCTCCAGTTCCTTCTCCTCCTCCACCTCATCCTCTTCCTCCTCGTCCAGTTCCTACTCCAGTTCCTCCTCCTCCTCATCCTCCTCCTCCTCCTCCTCCCCCACCTCCACCTCCTCCGCCTCCTCCTCCTCATCCTCCTGCTCCCTCCTCCTCCTCCTCCTCCTCCTCCTTCCTCCTCTCTCCTCCTCCTCCTCCTCCTCCTCCTCCTCCTCCTCCCTTCCTCCCTTCTCCACCTCCTCCTCCTCCTCCGCCTCCTCATCCTTCTCATCCTCCTCTTCCTCCGCCTCCTCCTCCGTGGCCATTTTGGTTCAAGCTGTGGTTCCTCTTTGGAGCCAGGTGGATCCCGTTGATCCGAGGCCAGCCGTCGACGATTTCTCGCACGTCTGCGTCAGCCTGCCCAGGCGTCGCATAATCGGTCATGCCCAAAGCATGACAAAGCAGTCCCGGCAGTACGTACAATTTCGGCTGTGCAGTTGTTGCTGGATTTGGCGCACCCGAGGGACCCGTTTCCAGCGCTGCGCCGCGCGGAAGCCTTCGCAGGCAACCCAGCGGCAGTCTCAAGGGAAGTGGGCAGCACCGACGCAGCAGCTCGAGCAGACCTTCGGCAGCGTACCACGTCATGCATCGTGGAAGGCGCAGGCCATTCACACGAACCCTTTCGGCGCACCCGTCTTCTCCCCTTTCGTGACGCTGCCACCCAAACCTTCTGCGCCGCCGCCCCTACCTCAGGATGCGCGGAGCCAGGAGAAGGACCAGGGCTGGCAACAGCTCTGGAGGAGGCGCAGGCCCAAGAACAACTACAAGGACGCAGAGTTTGACGACATCTTCGTGAGTGACGCATTGGCGGTGCTCGCTATGAGAACGGAGCCAACCGCTATCGCGACCATCCAGGAGCAGCTCGCGAAGGCGCCGCCAAAACCGACGGTGCCTGTACTTCCGGGGATGGCTTTACAACGCGATGCAGTTGCAGCATGCGAAGCCAAAGCCAGGTACACGGGCGCGGTGGATTGGGCTGCCAAGGTCCAGGAGCAGCTATGCGAGGCCACCTGGCTACCTGCATGACATGGCCGCCATCCCAGCGCAAGCGGAGGCCGCAGAGGAGGTGTGTGCCAGTCTGGCCCCCCCCCAAAGAGTGGCACGTTTGCGCAGGACAGGCAAGGCAACGGCTTGATGGCGCGCTGCTCGAGGGCGCGACCACCACGATCACCGAGGGCGCCTTCCTCGGCATTGACGTCAGCGTCGAGGGCCTCGATGGCGGAGCTGAGGCCGTCATTGAGCAGTGGAACGTCAGGCAGAAGTAGCTCGGAGACTGCATTCAGCAGCTAGGGAAGGATCACTCCACGCCCGTGGCTGCGCAGGTCAAGACCGACACCGGCAACTTGAGAGAGCAGAAGGCGAGACCGCCCTCGCGCCAGGGGAAGAAGAGGAACGGCGGGCAGGCGCCGGCAGGCGCCCCAGTGGCAGGCCAGGAGGCCAGCCCAGGCGCCGCCGCATCCGCACCTCCTGCAGTAATGGAGGATGACGATTAATAAACGACCGGGGGTCGTGTTCACGCGGCGGCGCCCGGGACGACGATTAGAAAAAACCGGCCGCGGGCTGGAAAACTGTCTCTTTTAACCGTTCTCCTCCAGTCAGAACATGGTGCAGAAATAGCAGAAACCTATTTTTTTAATCGTCCTCTCCCATTTTTTTTAACAAGCGTCATCCCGCATCACTGCTGCAGTCGCAGGCGCGGGCCCCTGCCGCGCCGACCGGAGGCGGCGACCTCGGCGCGACGAGGCCCGCGTCGCCCCCCGCGCCGCCGAGCTGTGCAGCGCGGCGCTGTGGAGGGCGGGCAGGGGCAGGGGCACCCTCGGAGCCTCACAAGCTCCAGACCTCCCCCCTGGGCGTCACTGGTAAGGGGGCGCGGCCGGCGTCTGCGATGGCAGCGCCGAGCGCACCCGATCCTCCACTCCTGGGGGGGGGGGGTTCTCGGCATCTGCGCGCGCAGTGCCACTACTTGTGTGTGTGTGTGTGTACGTGTGCGTGCGTGCGTGCGTGCGTGTGCGTGCGTGTGCGTGCGTGTGCGTGCGTGTGCGAGCGTGTGCGTGCGTGCGTGCGTGCGTGCGTGCGTGCGTGCGTGCGTGCGTGCGTGCGTGCGTGCGTGCGTGCGTGCGTGTGTGTGTGTGTGTGTGTGTGTGTGTGTGTGTGTGTGTGTGTGTGTGTGTGCGCGCGTGCGTGCGTGCGTGCGTGTGCGTGCGTGCGGTGCGCGCGTGCGTGCGTGCGTGCGTGCGAGCGGTGCGTGCGTGCGTGCGTGCGTGCGTGCGTGCGTGCGTGAGTGCGTGCGTGCGTGCGTGCGTGTGTGTGTGTGTGTGTGTGTGTGTGTGTGTGTGTGTGTGTGTGTGCGCGCGTGCGTGCGTGCGTGCGTGCGTGCGTGCGTGCGTGCGTGCGCGCGCGCGCGCGTGCGTGCGTGCGTGCGTGCGTGCGTGCGTGCGTGCGTGTGTGTGTGTGTGTGTGTGTGTGCGTGCGTGCGTGCGTGCGTGCGTGCGTGCGTGCGTGCGTGCGTGCGTGCGTGCGTGCGTGCGTGTGCTTGCGCGTGCGCGCGCGTGTGCGCGCGTTTGCGAGGGCCAAAGTTGGCGAGCATTTAAGGGATCAGCGGCAGTGCTGCGACGTCGCTGGCACACGTGGGCATCGCGCGGGCCCCAGCGACATCAATGACACCGGAGACGGGATCATGAACGCAGGATGGCGCCAAGTCATGTCGCCAGCCATACCTCGAGACCGCGCGCAGCAGGCCGGAGGCGCCCGCGTCGCCGACAAGAGGGGCCCCCACGCTAGATCCTGCTCTCACATTGCCGCTCATCCCCCGCCGTGCCAGGGCGCAAACCACGGCGCACAGGACGGGGGGAAGTTAGGCGAGGGGCCACTTGATTGCCATGATTTCTCTGCCGTAAGCATGTGCACGGCATGGCGCAGGATCTCTCTAGCCCAGATGTACCGCGGCCGTGGCGTCGGGGTCGAGGGCCGCAAGTTGCGCAAGTTGTGCCCATTGGGCAGACTAGTACTCGCTTAAGCGGCTCCTTGGGTCGCACTCGGCGATTGGCAGGTGGAGCCAGCAGCTCTGAATGCTTGGATCGGCAATGTGGGATACTTCCAGGCGACGTTGAGGTCGCCAGCTTCGCAGGAGAAGGGCGCATGTGCGACTTCGCCGGGTGCGCCAAGGGCCCGGCCCCGTTCGCGCGTTCGGTCTTTGCTGCACATCAATGTCGGCCTCGACCCGACTCTCGCTGGGCATCTCACCCGCGCGGCGCCGGGGCCTTGTCCCCGCCCGCAGGCGCCCAGGCGGGCCCCCTACCCCAACGACGAGAAGCCTCTCCGCGAGCTCCCTAAGCCCCCCCCCCGACCCTCTGCCCGCAAGCTGGCAGTGCATCGGAAGAGGCAGTCGGGCGGGGCGGGGGCGAGGATGGATCCGTGCCGGAGCGCTCCGGCACCCTCAGAGAAGGCCGCGGCGCCCGAGGCGCCTTCCAGGGCCACCGATCCCAGGGGTTCTCGACGTATCCTCACGCCAGGCTATCCTCGCCCTGGCCTCGTCCTGGGCAGGGGGGGTGGGGGCGGGCAGGCGCTCCAGGTCTCCCCGACGGCGCCGCTCCCTCTTAGAGGCCCGCCCCGGGAGAACGGCCTCGCCCGGGGCGGCGGGCCCCCCCGCCGCGGGCCAGGGCCCAGCAGGCGAGCTTCGGGCCCCTGGGGGCGCCCATGTCGGCAACGCGCAGAGGGGGGTAGGGGGAGGGGGGAAGGCTTCTTAGAAGCACCCCTGCTTCTTAGAAGGCGCGGGCCTTCTCTATAGACGGAAGGCCGAGGCCTTCTAAGAAGCAGGGTGCTTCTAAGAAGCCTTCCCCCTCCCCCTACCCCCTTTTGCGCGCCGCCAACCATGCCCCTGAGAGGAACGCGGGGCCCGCTCGCCCCACTCCTCCTCCCGAGCCTCTCGAGCGCCCCCAGGGCGCCAGGCGCCCCGGGGAGCTCTGGGAGGGGGCCGAGCCGGACCCGGGAGCGAGTGGAGCGCCCGCCGAGGTCCGAAGCTGTCCAGGGGTTCCTGGCCGCCCCGCGCGCTTCCGCGGAGCCAGCTGTCAAGTTCGGCACCTGGGCCTCTGGCGTGGAGTCGCTCCATGGCGAAGCCCGCTCCATTCCCTTTGCAGCTCGGGGTGCTTTGAAAGGAAGGCCTCTCCTGCAGCCCTTTTGCAGGCGCCCCGTGTCTCGCGAGTCTGCCCCTCGGCAGTCGGTCCACAGTGGTGCTGGCTGGCGGTCCGCCATCAGCTCCCACCTGGCCCGTCTGGGCCGACTTCTCGCCGGGCCCGCTTTTTTAGCCGGGGGCGGAGCGAAGGCCGGGACATCTTTGGGGCTGCGTCGATTCCCGGATCCCGAGGCTCTTAGGCATCAAGCCCCCCGCTTTGGATCGCGCCGCCGCCAAGTCTTGGCGGCGGGCCCCGGGGGGGGGCGGCCCCAACTGTAGCGGCGCGGCAGCTTCATTTGCGAGCAGGCGCAGCAGGCTCCGATCTCACGAGGGCACCGAGGCCCGTTTCGGACGGAGCCCTCGCAAGTCTTTAGCGACCCGGCCGCTCAGCCCAGCGGCCCGTGTCGCTCGCGCACACCGGTCCAGCCCCAGCCTCGAGACACGGCCAAAGCGTCGGGCAAGGGTTCGTTGCCCACCATGGCCCCCGTCGATCTCATACGCATCTGACCCCAATGGAGGACACGGAAGTGGCCCAAG